ATCATGCAAGGAGTCTATCCGCAATTAGCGATAGTACAAGGGGTCTATAGGCAACAAAAGAATTACAGGGCCACAATTAATCCAAAAAAATTGAAACCATGCATCCTGCTCATATATTCATCATTCTCAATGCTTCAGGAACAATAAATGTCGAAAAAATAAATTATTGAATTTTGACAGTGATGACATTTTGAAACAATACATCCTGAAACTTAATACTACAGTACGATTTTAATACTACTTTGCCGTAAGCTTTTTTGGATTAACGATGTATGTCAATCTAATACACAGTGATTTTCGCAACGATCAAGTGCATATGTACCTGCTTTGCTGAATTCTCTTTTACCCAGTAACTACAGTCATTCATCTTACAAATGGGATAAGCAAATACTCAGCATAAAAAAGCTGCAAAGATGACAAAGGAGTGCAAGAGATGAGAGTTAGCATAGAGATGAATTGAACTTGTATGGAGAAATTAAACTCATCAGATTAAATTAGATAATTAACAACTCCATGGCATCATAATTACCTTCCAAACGAACATGTAGAAAGATGTTATAGCAGCTTTTGTCATCGAATCGAGAGATCTAGCACGATTCCAGAGAATTGAAGCAAGAATTGCGTGGCCTAAAATCTGCAGTAAAAGCAGTAAGGTTATTTTCAAGTTCTGAGATTTTGTAATCAAGATTTTATCAGAATTTATTAACTTCAAACCTAGATAGTATAATCAGATCAGAGCACCTTAAAAGAAACAATAAACTATTCCAGGTGCAGTACTTAAACTTTTTCTATTGATGATATTACGCAATCATCATTTCAGATAATGGCTCGTTTGATGCTCATATAAAACTAAAAACCACAAGAGAATCAAGATATAACTGAAGAAAAGTGAACCTCCTTCCGAAATTGTGAGATGTTAAGATATGATGAGGTGTTAGGATTTGCGCCTCAAATTCTCCTTAGGAATCACTTCTATTCGTGGTTCCGAGTTGAACAAGTATTTGTGTGATTCCTTGTCGGACAATAATTCTATTTGTGATTTCTAGTTCAACAAGAATTCTATTTGTGAAATCTCAACTATGATCCATTTGTGATTTCTACTAGAACCAGGATCAAATGTAAGTAAAGATAAATACATCATGATAGAGAGATAAATTTTGTGGTTGCTTGGGGATCTCTAGGATTTTAGAGAGAGCTTTGTAAGAAGAGAATTATTTTCACAGGTTCTTGGGTTTTTGTGGTATAGAATAGTGATCCAAATTTTATACTCTTTCTCGCATCATTTTAGTGGAAGTCTTTTGGCTGCTTTGAATAAATCTCTTTGCATTCTTCTTTATTTTGAATTCTTTACACATAAAGATTGCAAATTGGTTGTGGTTCTTGTCAGTGTGTCAGTGACATCCTTCATATTGAAAGGAGACATCTTTTCTGTGCTACCCCTAAGATTAACATTTTTTCTCATATGAGACCCAAAGTTCTATCCTATTTTTCAAGTGAGACGCCAAATCTTCGTATTTGTAAATTACACCGCCAACCTTAATGTTCCAAATGGAGATGTTATTTTAATCAATTTAATGGACTTCGAGGTATAATAAATTACAAATATGGGATGTTATTAAGAACAGCTTAATGGATTTAGGGTGTAAATTAAAACTAAGAAGATTCATAGATCTAATAGAAAAATATGATACAATTCAGGGTTATTACTAATATGAGAAAAACACTTAATAATTAAATAACCAAACAAAAGCACTGTAGCAGGGGAAAACGTTATGGCCCCAGGTTACGCTCACTGTTATGCATTTGCTCCAGAGGCAGGAAGAAGTCGCTCCAACAACCATTGCTACAGTGTAAGCCATCTCAAGTAGATATATACAAATCCAAAACACCTGATCACGTGCAAATAAGTAGTAAACATGAAAGAAAAACCCAATATTGCCTAATTTAGATAACAGGTTAAGCAAACAATCCACAGGATGACTACCTTTTTTTGGCCCAGGCGTACGCTGAACGAACGAATGCCAAAAATGCGATCACCATCAATATCAGGTATGTCCTGCACATTAATTACTTACAAATAAATAAAAAATCAAAATTCCAAAAACTATATTTTACCTGAACATTTTACTAGGTCAACTTCCATAACATTTTATAGCTCTCCATACACCGAGTTTTCAATATAAGGGACTCCATAATTGACATCTTGAAGTTTGGAAATTGCGAGTAAACTACCTTGAATAGTGCAATAACAACTGAGAAGAAGCTCATGAACGCTGTTGCAAATATCAATGGCCTTGAGAAGCTTGCTGGTCTTCTAAAAACAAAGGTCTGGCAAATTCACAATGTTACATAGTGCTCACAGATATAAGATGATTAGAGCTCCATTGAAGCAAACCTAAATTGTTAGTCATAACCTGGATACTTGATACACCTGAAAACTAGTAGTAACATTATATTTTTATCCTTTATTTGTTACTTATGTATCAAGCATTCACAAAATAGACATCATATAAAAGGGGTATCTCTAGAATTCATGTTTTAAAGTGAACGAAAACTTAATATCACCATCATCAAATAATCATCTAAGGCTTCTCCGACCAAATGGGACTATGGAGTCGAAGGCTCCATGAAAATTTTTGACAAAATAACAGTCAAATTTGATGTCAAGCCTTAAAAAGTTGGTGCAAGTTCCTAAAGAAAATATGGAGCTAAGAAAAGGAGGAGTGTTCCACAATATCTAAAAGGCTACTTTGCAGATAGCTTGAACTACCTACATTATGCAGTTAAAGCTCGAGTAACAAGGAAAAAAATCTTAAAATTTCATTCAAAAATTCAGACATAAGAGCGTACAAGAAATGACGATATGTCGTCATAGGGAATACCATCCAACTATAAGCTATAAACAAGCCAAAGACCAATTGGGGCACATCCCCAGACATTATAGCTATGCAGATCAATATTCATTGGGTTTGAATACTCATAAGCCATAATAGGATTAACTTGTTATTGTATTCCTTCAGTTTGACTCAACTAGATGCTTGTATTCCTTCAGTTTGACTCAACTAGATGCAGGAATAAAAATTAAAATATGTTGGAGAATGCTACTAACCACTTGAATTTCCCAATAGCAGATTAATCTGGTTTTATATTGGAGCTATAGGATTTGAAATTAGGCCCTTCTGGTAGGATCAATAACGAAAGTTCTCCTTATGCATACATATGAACTACTCATGTGCATATGAAAAATACTAAATGTGCACATGCATGTCTTTGTAACTACATATGCAAGTGGAAAACATTACATAACAATCTCATCTCCAGAAACTTACCTGGATGTGCAAGAAAAAGGCTAGCTGAACAATAACAGCACGCACAGCGAGGATACATATTGCTGCAACAACTGCAAATCTCTTCCATCTTAAAAATGGTAACTGCAGGAAAAATAGGTTTAAGATTATCATGGCACTATATCCATGTTTGCACACTTTATGGTGTCAAATTTAGCAGAAACGATAACCAGAGATCGTAACCTCTGTAGCCTTAGAAGATTATGTCTGTATGAGAAAAACTAAAGATCTTTTTTCAGTAAGTTAAAAGCTTCTCATTGAATACTTGTACATGCATTCACATTACATCCAACTGGATATATGTAACAGCTAACAGGTTATCAAACTTGAAAATTGCCTTACAGATACTCAGCAAGCTTCAATTGATGATGCTAAACACAATGCAGAAAAGAATATACATTGTTAGGCATATTTATTGATAATTTGCATTGCAGTCATTTGAATAAGTATATTTCTAGAGAAGGCTTGCATATCCCTCCCCCACCCCACCCCACCCCCAAAAAAACCAGGTTCTGTGTGTGTGGGGGTTGTGAGTGGGGCGCTCTTTCAGCCTGATTAGCAGGAGGCCCACCAAGTGAATGCGGCCCACCCAATCTATTCAAAGTTATATATATATATAACTTTGAGATAGGTTTTCAATAAAATTGACCGCGGGTGAATTTTTTCTTTGGTTTTGGCTGAGAGTTCAAGCGGCGGCTACAGATTCGTGCAAGCAATAGAGGGGCTTCTGATTTGGCGGCTGCAGGCGGCGAAAGAGCAGAAGGCAGAGGGTGAAAAGAGAAATCTTGGGCGGCGTGCAAGCAAAACAGAGGGAGAAAAAGCAGAATGGTTTTTTTTTACTGTTTTGAAGAGGAGTTTTGTGCAGCGTCTTATAGGTTTTAGCATCCCCTTTTGAGAGAAAGATTGTTTGCGGGTTTAGGTTGAGAGATTGAAAACCCTAGTTGTATTTTTCTCCCTCTAATAGTAGATCTCTCGCTTCTTAGCCCGTGGACGTAGGCTATTTGCCGAACCACGTAAATAGTTTGTCTTGCTGTGATTTGTAATAGCTTGTAGGTTCCCTCGACAAGTCAGTCCTAGAACTGATGAGAGAAAGCTGATATCTCACTTTATTGAGATATTTTGTTTTCGGTTCTTGTTTCCTTTGTGAAACGGGAATTTCGTTGTGATCTAATCTCTTGTTGTGTACCTTGTGCACCAGGGATGCTACCGAAATTTTCGCTGCGCGTAACAAGTGGTATCAGAGCATGTGGAGAATGTGGGAAACACTCAATGAGAAGTACCTTACGAATAGCATTGAGAATCGGCTTTACTTAAAGAAGAGGAGAGTTTCCATCAGGGAGCATGTCAACAATTTCACGAAGCTACTTTCAGATATGGCCAATGTGGATATCATGGTTGAGGATGAAGACAAGGCGATGTTACTTTTATGTTCGTTGCCTGAGGATGATTACGATACGTTCGTTCTCACTATGATCAATGAAAAAACTACTGTTAGCTATAAGAATGTGATCTCAGCGTTGATAAATTATGAGTTGAGGAAGAGTGATAGTGAACCCTCCGAGAAGGCATCGGGAGATGCATTAGCAGTTCGAGGCCGTGATCCAAACCGCCACCAGTTCAACCGCTCAAAATCGAAGAATAAAGGTGGCCATAACAGTATTGGTAGGAATCAATATCGCTTTTGTAAAGAAGATGGACATTGGAAGATCGACTGCCCAAAGTAGAAGGACAAAGCCGGGAAGAATAAAGGAAAAGTTGTACAAGCTTCAGAAGTGAATGTTATAAAAGCTATTGATGAACATCCAGAGTCAGATTCTTCGGGCTATTCATGTCCTGTTTTCAACTTAAATGGTTTCAATTTCAACCAATCTGTAGTTGATAGTCAGGGTCGTGTTATTAACACTTGGGCTGATGTCAACCATGCTACTACCGTCGGTTTGCTATGCCGACTCCACGAAGTGGATGTTGGATTCAGGAACCACATATCACATATGCCCTAGGAGGGATTGGTTCTCTAGTTTTGAGGAGCTGAAAAGAGGGGATGTCGTGCTTATGGGAAATGATCACGTATGTCCTATTGGTGGTATTGGTTCAGTCCGAATTAGGATGCATAACGGAGTGGTGAGAGAATTGAAAGAAGTGAGGTCTGTGTTGCAGTTAACGAAGAACATCATTTCTCTTGGTACTTTGGAGGCAGTTGGTTATCGGGTGACCTTAGAGGATGCTATAGCAAATGTCACGAAGGGTTCTATGATGGTGATGCGAGGAGTCAGAAAAAACTTCCTATACTACTTGAAGGGCAAGCAGGGCCAGCCCAAGCTTTTTTGAGGCCCTGTGCGAAATGATAAAATGAGGCCCTTTTCTATATAAATGTTGAACTATAAATTTATTGAATTATATTTATTGGTGTGTTTCCTAGTTAATAGGGAATTGAACTATAAATTTATTGAATTATATTTATTGGTGTGTTTCCTAGTTAATAGGGAATAGTTAATTGGGAATTAATGAGTTCAAATTGAATTTCCTAAACTTTAGGAGACAAATGAGCAACTAATCATAATTGTAGTACTAATTGGTGTATATTTCCGGTAAAATGTAAATCAGATGGGTCATGGGTGTTAGGCAGTTAGGCTTAGGCAATGGACATAAATTATTATTTAATTTAGTGGGCTAGTATTAGATTATTAGGCCCTTTTTTAAACAAACAAAAGACTTATTGGAAAGAATTAAGAAATATACTATGGGCATTTTTAAAAATTTGGGGCCCCCTTTGAAATGGGGCCCTGTGCGGTCGCCCCCCCTACCCCCCCTCTTGGGCCGGGCCTGAGGGCAAGACAGTTAAAGAGGGTTTGGCAGCTTCTATCACTACAGAGGAGGATACTATCACATTATGGCACATGAGACTAGGACACACAGGAGATAAGTCACTACAGTCATTGGCGAAACAGGGGCTATTGAAAGGTGCTAAGACCTGTAAGATGGAGCTGTGTGAGCATTGTGTACTTGGGAAGAAGACTAGAGTGAAGTTTGGCACCGCTATCCACAACACTCAAGATACATTGGATTACATTCACACAGATGTTTGGGATCCTTCCAAGAACACATCACTTGGTGAGACCAATTACTTTATCACTTTCATTGATGACTATTCCAGAAGGAATTGGGTATACCCTATGAAGCATAAACATAACGTCCTGAATACTTTTGTGGAGTGGGAAAAAAAAGTGGAGCTGTAGACAGGTAGAAAGATAAAGACTCTACGTTCAGATAACGGTGGAGAGTATAAGAGTGATCTGTTTCTGTAGTTTTACCAGGATCACAATATTAGGCGATACTTCACAATTCGAGAGACACCGCAACAGAACGGGGTGACTGAAAGATTGAACCGTACATTGCTGGAGAATGTGCGAAGTATGATGACGCAGAGTGGATTGCCTAGATCCTTTTGAACTGAGGCGTTGGTTTATGTGAGTCATCTTGTGAATAGATTGTCGTGCACTGCGATACAGCAAAAGACTCCATTGGAACATTGGTTTGGTTCGGTAGCTAGTGACTATGAGTCGCTTCGGATATTTGGGTGTCCTGCTTATTATCATGTCAGTGATGATAAATTAAATCTGAGGACGAGGAAAGCAATCTTTGTTGGATTTAGAGAAGGTGTTAAAGACTTCAAATTATAGGATCCACAGGAAAGAAGATAGTTATTAGCAGGGATGTCACATTTGACGAGGCGTACATGATGAAGCCTCAAGTTCCTCAGCAGGTGGAGGAAGACCAGATTCGAAAGATATCACAGCAGGTGGAGGATGATGTGACTTCACTCACTCAAGAGAGCATTATATCCATCGAGGCTCCTACAGAGATGATACTGGGAGGAGATGGGATGACAGCCCGACAAATAGAGGATACAGTGGATTGTGAGACTCAGGAGCATGGTCATGTTCAGGAGTCTATTACAGCAAATAGACCTAGAAGGGTGATTCGTCGGCCAATTAGGTATAATGATGTCATGATTGCATATGCATTATCAGTGGAGGTCGTTGATGATATGGTTTCATCCACATTCAGTGAGGCAGAGTCGAGTCCCGATTCGATCAGGTGGAGAGAAGCTATGGAGGAAATGTGATCTCTTCAGAAGAATGACACTTAGGAACTTGTAAAGCTACCTAATGGTAAGAAAGCTATTGGTTGCAAGTGGATCTATGCGAAGAAGGAAGGATCTTCTATTGGGGACATTCGGTTCAAAGCCAGATTGGTTGCCAAGGGATATACACAGCTTGAGGACATTGATTATAACGAGGTATTCTCACCTGTTGTAAAGCATTCATCGATTAGGATTCTGTTAGCATTGGTGGCACAGATAGATTTGGATTTGGTCTAAATGGATGTTAAGACAGCTTTTTTATATAGAGATTTAGAAGAGGAGATCTACATGACATAACCTATGGGGTTCAAAGTTGCAGGAAAAAAAAATTTAGTTTGCAAGCTGAAGAAGTCTCTTTATGGATTGAAGCAATCGACGTGATAGTGGTACAAGAGATTCGACAGCTTCATGATTGGCAGGGATACACGAGGAGCTCATATGACCCATGTGTTTATATGCACAAACTACAGAATGGTGAGTACATCTATTTGTTACTATATGTTGATAATATGCTTATTGCCTCCAGGAATTCTTCGGCTATTGGAAAGTTGAAAAAAAAGCTGTCATCCGAGTTTGAGATGAAGGATCTTGGAGAGGCGAAGAAGATATTGGGTATGAAGATCGAGCGAGACAGGGCAAAGGGGAGATTGAAGCTTACATAGAGGAGTTATCTGCAGAAGATGTTAAAAAAAATTCAGCTTTGATGGAAATACAAAGGCAGTGAGTACTCCATTGGCTCCCCACTTTAAACTTTTAGCTTTGATATCGCCTGTTTCAGTTGAGGACAGAGATTACATGTCGAAGGTTCCATATGCCAGTACGGTGGGTAGCTTGATGTATACTCTGATGTGTACGAGGCCAGACTTATCACATGCCGTGAGCATGGTATCCAGGTACATGCATAACCCCGGGAAAGATCATTGGGAGGCCGTGAAGTGGATTTGCGGTATATCAAAGGTACCGTAGATGTTGGATTGGTATTTCAGAAGAATGAGAAGACGGGACAGGATTGTATTGGCTATGTGGATTCAGATTATGCGGGGGATCTTGACAAGCGCCGGTCTACTTCATGATATGTGTTTACATTGGTAGGAGCATCGGTATGTTAGAGATGCACACTTCAGTCCACAATGGCTCTCTCTACTACAGAGACGGAGTATATGACGGTAACTAAACCTGTTAAGGAGGCTTTGTAGTTGCGTGGATTATTAAAGAACTTGGGGATTACACAGGAGACCCTTAGGGTATATTATGATAGCATGTCAGCCATCTATTTGGCAAAGAACCAAGTTTATCATGCGCGCACGAAGCACATCGATGTCAGATTCTACTTTGTTCGTGACGTTTTGGATAATGGAGACGAGAGAAAGTCCACACGAATGACAACCTTGCAGATATGTTGACCAAAGTTATCTCAGGTGTGAAGTTTGGTCATTGTTTGGAGCTTGTGAACATTTTTCGGTGTTAAAGCCTTTGGAGGCCATTGGGTGAACTACGTGAGGCTTGATTCCTTAGGCAAGAGGATACATAGGCAGTCTTTACGATGTAGCCGGTTTGGATTAGTTGATTTTGATGGAGGTGAGATTGTTTGGACTCTCGTTCGGGTTCCCGATTTGTTGTTGATTGAGTCTGTTGTCGTGAATTAACTTCACGGCGTACTGAACACAACAAGTGGGATATTTGGATGCTTTGGTGTCGGCTTAGTTTTGAAAGAAACTTCACCGAGGTGAAGAATTGTGAGTGGGACGCTCTTTCAGCCTGATTAGCAGGCAGCCCACCAAGTGAATGCGGCCCACCCAATCTATTCAAAGTTATATATATATATAACTTTGAGATAGGTTTTCAATAAAATTGACCGCGGGTGAATTTTTTCTTTGGTTTTGGCTGAGAGTTCAAGCGGCGGCTACAGATTCGTGCAAGCAATAGAGGGGCTTCTGATTTGGCGGCTGCAGGCGGCGAAAGAGCAGAAGGCAGAGGGTGAAAAGAGAAATCTTGGACGACATGCAAGCAAAACAGAGGGAGAAAAAGCAGATTGCTTTTTTTTACTGTTTTGAAGAGGAGTTTTGTGCAGCGTCTTATAAGTTTTAGCATCCCCTTTTGAGAGAGAGATTGTTTAGGGGTTTAGGTTGAGAGATTATAAACCCTAGTTATATTTTTCTCCCTCTAATAGTAGATCTCACCCCTCCTTACCCCGTGGACGTAGGCTATTTACCGAACCACGTAAATAGTTTGTCTTGCTGTGATTTGTAATAGCTTGTAGGTTCCCTCGACAAGTCAGTCCTAGAACTGATGAGAGGAAGAGCTGATATCTCACTTTGTTGAGATATTTTGCTTTCGGTTCTTGTTTTCTTTGTGAAAGAGCTGATATCTCACTTTGTTGAGATATTTTGCTTTCGGTTCTTGTTTTCTTTGTGAAACGGGAATTTCGTTGTGCTCTAATCTCTTGTTGTACACCTTGCACACCGGAGGTGCTGCCAAAATTTCCGCTACGCGCAACATGGGTGTAGGTGTGTGTATAGGGTAGGGTGACAATTCACCCAGGGTGTAACTAAGTTAGACCCACATGTAATAATGCATGTTTGACATCTATGTTTTAAACCCAAACTGTTCATTATTATCTACATGCCATCATATCTAAGTGGATCCAGAATCACGTGGCTTGGAATCTTCTATCTTATAAATCATGCAAGTCAAAATAAGCAACATTTAACACCAATACAGACTGTTCATTTTTAGGTCATTAGATGCATAAACTAGAAACATTTAAGCTACGTGATTTTTTTATCTCCATGAAATCTTGAATGCATAGATCATAATAAACGATATGGATCATTAATATCAATGGCCAAACATATATTTTTACAGGTTGGTGAAACTTAATTACACCCTGGGTGTCTTGTAACCGTACCCATATA